GTACATAATCGCTATCGTTTTAGGACAACGGCGAACACGATACCGCGTCAGCTTCGCCAGCGAAGTGCAAACGACATTTTTTAACGGTACACTCGGAACTAAATAGAAAGTAAACTAGATACGTGTGTAAATACGCGATTAGACGGGCCCGTCGCTCGACCGCAACGCATTGGTTACTTTGAGGATAACATTTTAGGGTACGGATTGCGAAGTGGTGCGAACGAACCGTAGGGACGACCCGAGCCCGTCGAGCCGAGGCTCGTAGAACGCGTAATTAGACTTATAGTTCAGACTGTGATAAATGGTAATTGTCGTGCTCGCTTCCGTGTTCGGAAGGCGGCGAGGACGATTCGACTTGTAACGAATTCCTACGTGTCGCGCATCGATAGGGAACAACAACGGTTAGGTTAGCGGACGATACACAGCCTTACGAGACGATCACACTCTTTCTACCGCGCGAACTTTTCGACAGTCTTCCACCGAAGGACCTTCCTGCCCGAGGACAAGATCAACGAACGCGTTCGCGAACTTCCTCGAACTTGTGCACTTAGGGGATGCGAACACAGTCCGGTTAGCCCCGAAAACTCCGCGATCCCCTTCTTCTTTCCTCCGCGAAACGTTCCCCGTTCCTTGGTCTCCCCTGAAGGCTTCCGCGCGTCGCGATACACATTGTCGATACATGCATCAACGTCAACTGTCGCGAACGCGTCCAGATTTACGATTCTTTTCAATTCACCAGGCGATACAGCCGACAACGGCGACAGTTTCAACGACAGAATCTAAATTGAAACTACACTACAAAACTAAAAGGACATTAGGGTTCCGATTACATCGACTACAAACCGCATCAGTGCTAATGATCTACGCCCAGTCTTAGCGTGTTACGTCGAGCGGTATACGAAATCGCGTTATACGATCACGAGAAAGGTTCCCGCGTAATGCGAATACCAGGAATAACTTACAACCGTCGTGGCAAACTTTTCCTACGTTTCACCTATCAGGGTAGCAAAACTACATTTCTAATGGAACAGTGCGTTGTACAGGTACCACGCTTTCACGCAACAGAACTCTCCTAGGAACTCTCGTTGCGCAAGACCCAGGCATCGATGCATGTATCAGCAACGCGCGCCGCGACGCGCGAGCCTTGGCGTTGCTCGTCCTCGTCCTCGCTCCCAGCATCCGTCAAACGAACAGACACCGGCGAGACTTGCGAAACTTTTCTGCCCGAATCGACTCGTTCGTTCCTGCGCGTTACTTGGGCTGGAGTGGCGTCGATCCGACGAAAAGGCTCGTCCTCCGATGTAAGCCGCGTGTCCCAGTTCCCGTGAATCGTCCCAAAACGAAGACCGACCGCGACCCACCGACCCGAAGTTCCGCTCGGAACCCGCCGTTCCACTGGCCCCCGACCGAAACCGCGAGGAGGCAGCGACATTGGCAACGACGAGGCAACAAAGAGCACTGAGCTGAAGCATTAATAGGCCCGTGCCTGTCTGTGTGTGTGTTACAGCGGCAATGCTGGCGAGTCAGCAGGCCGCCGCGGTAGCCGCATCGGTGATCTCGCCATTCCCGCCCAAGTGACCCGCGGCCCCCGGTCCCGTACTAGCTGCCGGAACGACCGGACCCACCTCCGCACAAACTCACCATACGTCTCATCATCCTCCACCGGTCAGCGGGGCGACCGCTGCGGGACATCCGCACCCTGCCGCCGCCGGCAGGCAACCCTAGGATACGGCACCCCTCGAGAATACCGCTAATTCGAGCCTGTTGCTTCTACTTCGATAACGCCCCGATGACGTTCGACGGCCATCGTCTGTCTACCCTGCCGTCAGCGTGCACCAGCTAGCCGACAGTTGCCTGCCCGACCCACCTGCCACCGTGCGCCGGCCTCTTTGTAGCCGTCGGCTCCAACGTCTCTCCCCTCTGGACAATCGCAGCTCCGCCGACGTTCGCGGGCATCCCGGTTCAAGACGAAAGAGAGGCGGCGAGAGAACAGACGAACGGACAGGATGAACAAAGAGATTAGGGACGAGGAGGATAATGTGAACCTCTCCGATAGGTGAACGATCTAGGCAAGCGATCGCGTGGTCGGTTCCAGCGTCGCTCATCGTACGCCTCCACGCTTCGTGAATCGATGGCCGATGGAACAACGGAGACACCGTTCGAGCGGCCCGATGACAAGGCGCGACGTATCACGCGGCGGGAAACACCCTCGGCAAGGCGAAGCGACACCGAAGCACGTACTTAAGATCCGATCGGAGCGCGCGCGTGTTCGTTCCCATTCTTCGCGGTACCGTTGCTCCGCCCGACGGACGGTATTCCATTTCGATTCGATCGACGCTCGACGATGGTCCGTCGAAGATCGTGCTTCGCACGGAAGCCGAGGGGGACGTAGGCAACAAGCGAAGAACTTCTCGAGGATTATGCCGACGAACGGGTCACGCGTGTCGCGGAGGAAATCGCGTTCGTTCGGGTGAACGCGAGCGAGGGTAGCGATTGTCCGGAGCTACGAAGCAGCGGTGAACGCGTCGTCGAGCGCGCGCTGGTGCGGCAACCTGGACACCCGGTGAGAACGTGTTCGACGGTGCCTCCAGAGCTAGAGTGGGACGTCGGACGCGTCGGCTTCGAAAACGCTTCCAGCAGCTGCGCGCGGGGGGAAGGCCGCGCCGCGATCATCGAAGGACGGAAACGCGCGAGAGGAAGACGGCGAGGAAGAGCGCCGCGTTGATCTTGTCCCAGGCATCGGCTTCCTCGATGCCCGCGCACGATCATCGTTCGTCGCGCGGGGACGGACGAAAGCGCGAGGCGAGCCTCTCGGACCGCGCGCCGCGCGCCCACGAACCAATTTCAGTTGTTTCCACCTTTTCTTTTTTATCTGCCTGTCGTCTGTCTGCGCGACGCGAGACCACCCCGACTTTCGCTCTCACTCGACCGCGGTCAGAGTCGAAGCAACGTTTTT